ATACCACTTTGTTGCATCTGTGCTACACTGGAATTTTCTATTAGTATCTTTCTTCTCTTCATAAAAACAGTGAACTTGAGGGCAGAGTGTATATATTTATTTTTGTGCCTTTACCACTTCCACACGGAGTCTAGGACATTAATGCAAACCTTTTAGAGACCAACTGCCTAACCTGCAACCTACTTATTTATTGCAAAGTGCCAACTCTGCAATTAAACCTGAATACTGCGATTTTAGTTTAGAAAAAAAAAAATGTTATCCGATGCTCAGCTATTAGAGTGACTTAGCTCGCACTATGACACAGAGGGATCTTCATGCCTGCTGTGGCACACATACCACAGGTTTGTCACTACTGGCCTAGGAATAGAAGGTGTATAACAGATGTCTTTTAGGTACATAAGGGAATGAGCAGAATAGTGGGAAAATGGATCAAGTCTGATCATCATGAGAGTAGGTATAGGCAACACTGCCTTCCCCTCTTCCCTACCCACTGAGTGGGTATCTGCCTTCTCCATCCAGACCTCCTTCTTTCTGGCAGCTCATAAAGTCCTATTCATGGGCTTTCTTGGCTGCTTCACATTCCCAGTCTGATATGGCAATCAGCCAGCTCTAAGTGTGAAAGGGTTAGAATGGATGAGGGGAAGGGTGGTGATTTCCTTAGTAGTCTGCCAAGCTCCATTCTGACATTCCTTAGTAGTTCCTTGGCATTTCCACTATAAGATGGCATAATGAGCACACACTGTAACTTCCTCTTCCTGCCTGAGATTCTCAGAAAAAATGAAAATACCTGAATAAAAGTCCAGAATCAGGCAAGAAATAGACGACACTCTGATGACTCCCTCAGAGGACAACAGTAAAGAAGACAATCAACACCTAAAAATGCTTCTCAAAAATAACAGCCAAAAAAAGGGCCAGGGACATAGCTCAGTAACACAAGCGTCTGCCTGGTTAAATGCAAGGTCCTGAGTTCAATTCCCTGGCACCAAAAAAAAAAAAAAAAAAAAAGAGCCATGAAGGTGGTAAATACCAGGAGCAGAAGGGGATCTCAGGGGAATAAGTGTTTAAGTCAGTATCTATAGCTACATCCTCACCTTGAATGCTCAGTGAAGCATTGGGTGTAGGCCCTTGGTCTGAGAACCTTAGTGGGGGCCAGAGGGCCTGACAACATCCAAGGTCAGGGAACTTCTGAAGTCAAAAGATCAGACCCTGGCACACCCACCTGGGAGTAAGGCTTTTTTTTTTTTTTCTAAACTAAAACCACAGTATTCAGGTTTAATTGCAGAGTTGGCACTTTGCAATAAATAAGTAGGTAGCTGGTTAGCCATCAGCTCCTGGAGCTCCAGCTCCATGCCCAAAGAGCTGTCTGTGGTACACTTAGCCGAGCAGCACACTCCATGACTCCCCTACTAATAGGTACCACAAAAAAGCATTCCTGACCAGATTAACAGAGAATGTCAAAAATAAAAAGGGCTTTGGGGCTGGATGTGGTGGCGCATGCCTGTAATCCCAGCACTTGGGAGGCTGAGGCAGGAAGATGGCTGTGAGTTTGAAGCCAGCTGGGATACAAAATAAGATTAAGGCCAGCCTACACTACATAGTGAAACTCTGTCTTAAAAAGACAGAAATTAATTTTAAAAAATTAAAAATAAAAATAAAAAAATACAAAGGGCTTTCAGCTAAGAATCACCAAAGAGCTAAGAATCATTCAAAAAATGCTAACTCTAAGAGAGTCAACATGTTTAATAAATGGAAGACTTTGTATACAGAAGGACAGAGAAAAAGAACAATCAACTCATGGCTTTTAGATATATACAATTTACATTTTCTGAGAGATTTCAGTGGATATTATGCCCATAAAAAAATAATCAGCTAGATGTCTCAAAATTACAAAGTTGGATTATTACATGAAAAATCAACAGCTGGGCCAAATAGCAGAATGAACACCAGTGCAGAGTAAATTACAACAGGAAGACTGAGTTCAGGAATTCTTTTGGAAAACAGCCTAAAAGGACAAAGAGATGGAAAGCATATATACCAACATGGTAGCAGATTTAGGAGTTCCGATATTCATGTAATAGGAATTTTGCATGGAGAGAAATTATGCATGGAGAGAACGCACAGAACAAATGACAGACTACTCAAAGAAAGCAATAAAAAAGAACAATTTCTTAGGACTTAAGAAACTCAAAAAGTTTCAGATTAAGCCTATAATAAAAGCAGAGCAACATACACACACAAAAAAGACCCATGTCTTAACAAAATTCCTGACTTCCTCAACCCCAAATCTCAAATGCTTCTAGAACAAAAGAAAACTAGACAAAAACTGGTCATCTTATAAAGGAACAAGATTCAGATTAGCTTCAGGGTTTTAGTAAACAATGAATACCAAACAACACATCTGCATATTCTCTCACACAATAGACAAAAGATGAAAACAGCCAAATATCAATCAACAGATAAATGGACAAACAAAAGGTGGTATCCACGTACAAGGAGTATTCAGCCTTAAAAAGAAATGAGGTGCTGATACATCGATGAGCCTCAAAAATATGTTAAGTGAAATAAGCCAGACACAAAAAGACAAATACTATTTGATTCTATTTATATGAGCTAGCAAGAACAGGAAAATGCAGGGATGGAAAGTAGAACAGAGGTTAGTTACCAGGGTCTAGGGAGAGGAAAATATGGTAACATTATTTAATGTGTACCTAATCTGTTTGGGATGATGAAAAAGATCTCAAAATAGGTAATGGTGATATTTGAACATTATGAATGTACTTAATACCACTGAGTTATATATTTAAAGATAGTTAACACAGGGCAAGGTAAGTGGCAAAGCACATGTTTTGCCTTCATAAAGCCAGGGGTTCAATCCTAGGCACTAAACAAACAAAAATGGTTAGAATAATAAATTTTGTTACAACTTTAAAATTTTCTTAAAAGTAGGAAATATGACCAATCATTAAAGGAGAAATTGAAAAGTTAGCCAAAGATCTGCCTAGTTTGGTAGGCAAGATCTACCCATATCTGAGACAGTATTAATATCTAAAATATAGAAAGAATTCCTATAAATCAATAGGAAAGCGATGAACAACTCAATATACAGACAGACCAAGGGGGGAAAAACAGATGAAGGATAAAAGCAGATATTCACAGAGAAAAATATAAAGAGCTAATCATCAATTAAAAAGAATACTAATTTCACTACTTACCAAGGAAATGCAAATAAAGGAAGCAAATATTTTTTTCTTACATCAGATTGATAAAAATGAAAACTGACAGTATCAAAAGTTATTGAGGCTAGAGAGAAAAGTTATTGAGGCTAGGTACTCATGTACTACACAGATGGCACTAGAAATATACAAAAAAAATCTGGAGAACAAATGGGCAGTAGTCATTAAAATTGTAAATGTATACAACCCTACAATCCAGAATCTACCCTACAGAAATATTTGCATATGTGCAAAAAGGAGTGTATTTTAAAAACAAATAAGCTAACATTTTGAAAATGGTTAAATAATCTGTGATGTGTTATATTATGAAATTCTATGCATGGAAAGAGGTAGGTCTATAAAAACTGATAAAAAAAATCTCTAAAATTCATCACTAGGTTGAAAACAAAGTTTCAAAATTAAACATATGGTGTGAAAGCATCTATTAAAAATAATACTAAGCAAAATAAAATTGCACACTAGAACTACAAATTTATGTAAAAGTCTAGATGGATCTGGGGGGACATCCATTAAATTGGTAATAGTCATTACCTCTAGGAAGAGCAATGGGATTTCAAGCGTAGCTGAAGGGAACTAAAGTGTTACCTTATGTTACTTTTTAAATTTAAAAAGTATAAATTTATTTCTTATATAATTAAAAATAAACAGGAAAAAATGAAGCTTATAGGTATCAGACCATGCTAAGAAGGCAGAATTGAAAACAACACTGCTAAAGGCTACTCCTTCACGTCTCTGCTTTAAGAAAGATTAGGATTTGTCAATCATGGCGATCTCCACCTTCATAGTGTTCTCCCTGCTACTATTTCTAATAGAAAAGGCACTGAATCCACTGCATCCAACTTTCCTTTCAAATCATTATCTTCCTAATGTCTAAGCACCGGCCTTTCTTTCCATTGGATTTGAATCTGAGGTTAAAAACTGAACAGCGGTAGGATGGAAAAAATAAGGTTTGAGTGAAAGTCACCATTTTGCCATATCTAATGTTCTACTGGCACAATGTATTTTCTAAAGATTGCCATAGCAATACATCCCTTCCCATATGCTCTTTTTACCAATGTCACTTTGATATTCTTCCTTCTTGAATCTTGGCAGTTTTGTGATTACAGCAGAAATTATGCTATGTAACTTCCAAGGTCAAATCTTTTGGAACCCAGGCACCTCACCATGAGGAAGCCCAAGTAATCCATGGAGGTCAACCAGAGACCTCCAGTCCACAGCTGGTTGAGCTCCCAGCTGACAGCAAACACCAATGTGCCAGCCCAGATAATGAGCCAAGGGCTCTTCTAGCCCCTCTGGTACCAGGAATCAAGCTCAGGACCTTGCACTTGTCAGGCAGGTACTTGTACTGCTGAGCTATAGCCCCGGCTTCTAGCCCCTCTGAAAGCTGCTTCGGTTGATGCTGCATTGAGCAGAGATGCAGGATTTCTTTTTTTTTTCTTTTTTGGTTCTTTTAATGCATAATGAGCCAGTTCAATTTTCATGAGCAAAGTAATTGTTTTTAGCCAACGAATTCTGTGGTGATTTGTTACATGGAAATGACTGAGATAGCTGAGAGTTGTGCATATATACAAAAGCAGCTATCTGACATGGGGATCTTCAGAAGCGAGGCTCAGGACATTGTAGGGGATCCCTGCATCAAACAGCATTAGAGTAGATAACATCAGAGGTTGCTTCTAACAATAAGATTCTACAGTGAGCTCAGGGCTTAAGCCCTTCGTAGGACCACCTCTTCTTAGGGGAATGTGATCTTCTCCAACAACATTGTACCTTTCAGAAAGCTGCCGGATCTGTGGAATTCCCATATACTTGTGGAAATGCTCCAGAACATTCATTACACCCTGAAGGAGATTAGCAACTTCTCCATACTGTCTGCGTCTGGTCATGGCTCTGCAGGGAAACAAGAAGAAAACTAGCAAAATACTAAGCACAAAAGATACAGATGTGTAATAACTTACTCCAGCTCTGAAGCAGACATGAATTTGCTTTAATAAACACTTACCAAGGACTAAATATGAATGGTGCTGTGCACTGGGTAGGGGGACCTGATTCAAATCCTCAAGGTGACAGCATGTGGTAAGTCAGGTATACATCTATCTAATAGCGAGTAGAATGAATTAAGTTCTGTATAGAAGTACAGCATAGGTTATGTGCCATGCGGTGTACAAAAGAATGTGAGTGATGGATTCTTATGGGTGGGGAAGAGGAATCTGGGAAGGTTATATATTACAGGATTATCAGGCTTCCAACAGAGAACAGGGGTAGAGATTTAACTGAGGACCGTAGCATACGCGCAAACCAAACCACCTTTCTAGAATGTAAGGGACATTTATATACATTGTCACATGTCAAATCAAATCTGTACGTTTAACCTTATGATAAAAACTCAGTCAGAGATGTCCACTTTTCCTGATGCTAAGGTTAATGAAGCTTAAACAAAAGATGCTGATAAAATCAACAGCTACACATAGCAAGGAAGTACAAAGTATTATGGCCGAGCTTCTACATTAAGTGTATAATTTATAACTTCCCTTCTGAGGCATTTGAAAAGATAGGATCAAGTTCAAGTCAAGGTGTTATATTGCTACGAGGCCTGCTAACACTGACAGCCTGCAGGAAGGATAAAGGAGGCTGCTATTCCAGTTCCACCGGCCTGCTGCCCTGCCTGATCACTTCCTGTAGAGGAATGGACCAGGGATCCCCTGACACCCAGACTATGCCCAGGAGAGCTCAGGAAGGAGTCTGTTCCTCTTCCTTTACCTTCAGTACCTTCTCCCACTCCCACCACCCCAAGACTTTGGATACTGAATTAACTTTTCTGTGACGATCCTCTCTGTCAACATCCAGAACTACACTGAGGCTGAGTCAAGGGGAATTTTCAGCCTAAAACCTGTGTAAGGAAATTCTCAGCCTTATACAGAGGCAAACTGGAAATGCTGCTGGGTTGCTTCTTTATAGCAAATAACCAGCTCCTTCTTTTAATAGCACTTCTAATGTGGTTAGGTATCATTCTCTTTATAAGCCAAGTAAAAAGCAACTATCTTTGAAAAAATTGGTTTTTTAAAAAGTTGGGTTGAATGATACATCAAAACTCTGTTTCTAAATGGTTTGTTCTGTGGCAGTGCAACTCAGCCCAACAGAAGCAGAAAACTTGGAGAGGCTGTGTAGAGTAACCCTGGGCCTGACTCACTTTGCCTGCCTTAATGGCATAGATCTAACACCTATAAATGATCCGAACTCTTGCAATCATTCTCATGGGCTCTCTGGGTCCTCCTTGGATCATCTGTACCTCACGTTTTAAAATTCTGAATGCCAGAGGGCATATGCAGAAAGTGACTGCACACTTGCAGCCAATCTACTGAAAGTGGGGCAGGATGGTAAGGCTGGCTGGGAAAAGACTTATGAAGCTGTTTTCTTTATGTAATGGATTTCCTTACTATGGGCCCCAAACTCCAAGTTTACGTTACTTACTCGAGGGAATCAACGCCGCCTGCCAGCATGTGCAGGTGGTTCAGTGTTGTGATGGAGGTGGTCAGGTGGCGTTTGGCATGATCTAGCTGCTTAATGTCGCGGGTGATTTCCTTAACCTAAATATTGAAAACAAGAGAAGAAAAAAGAGGAAGAATAAGAATAATACATATCTTTCTACAAGTAGCTCCACATGAAAATAATATACATGAAGCAAGAAAAAAGCCTCAGATTAACCCCTGGAGAAAACACAAATGTTCTCACAATGCAAAATTAACTTAATTTCCAATCAACCCCTTTATGTTTAATTCTGCTATTTCTTCAGACTTTACCTAAGGTTACAAAATTCTCAGGTGTGAGAAATAAATTAACATTTATTTTTCACTCTCAGTGGAATGATCCAAATAGCAATGTAGTAGTGAAGAAGGCCCTCTGGAATAAGGTCTGAAAAGTGTGCCTTCTGCCACTCATGCTACAGGACTCAGCACAAAACGGATATTAGTCAGCTAACTGTACTGAGATGGTCTTTGCTATTACCCAGCCTCTAGCAAACAAAAACCTTCCCTCAAATCTCAAGAAGATCAAAATGTAATTCCTGTAACATAAACTTAACATACAATACCATAAGAGGGAGATGCAATCTTCTTGGAGTGAGAAGATAATGTGAGGAGTAACATTCTGACAATTTTGCTCAGTAGGCCCAAGAGAACAAAAGTCCATCTGGGAATGCAGCTATATTTCAATCACTGGAAAAGTGGATTCAGTAGAGAAGATGGAAAAGCCCTAAACCTTACTGATACTCTTTAGGTGAACTCTTCCACTATCCTGAGTCTATGATGATCAAGAAACTTTAATAGCAGTTTGGTTTCCCAGGCACTATGACAACTGGAAGGAAGTGCCCTGGACCCTAGGCCCAAATATTCTAGTCACTATACATGCATCCACCCTTGAAGTGCAAAATCCAATAGGGAGTTAGTTGATGTAACCTGATTTTTCAGAGCCTGACGACTTGGGTAAAATAAGGACTATGATTGGCACAACTTCATTCCATACCCACAAAACAGCAAGCTTGCCCTGGGTCTAAGCAGTAAAAATTCTCTTTCTCAGGGAATGCCTCATCAAGTCTACCTTCACTCATAACCCTCAGGCTATCTAATTACTTCTATTTTCATTATATTAAAAAAAAAAAAAAAAGGTTAAGAATCTACCACTACTTTACTGAATAATTGGGTTTGGAGCAAAAAAAAGATCAGGAGAGGCGTAAAAGATAAAATTTGGCTCCATAATCTGATCACCCACTTCCAACAATTATATCCTCATCCTATTTCCTACAGAAAAATCCCTGTGCCTCTTTCTGGTTCAACAGCTTCAGTCCTAACATTAGAGCTTTTGCCACTACTGTGTTTAAAGTCAGTCATCTATGCTTCTTCTCATTCATCAGCCAAATCTTGAATACTCTTCCTGTGCTGTATCCTAAGATCTTGTCCCTCTACTCTGTCCCTCACACATGCCCTCACTGCTCTGCACCAGATCGCTGGTCTTTTTCTTTCTCAGATCTCCCACCACATATGTTTCATCACATATCCTATGCTACTCTAGACAAATCAAACTACTTGCTATTCCTCAAAAAAACCTTTAATGGTAGAACATTTAAGAGGTGCTATATTCTACAAGAGCAGACTATTCTACAAAACAGATTACTCATAGTTAATTTACTGTAACTATTATTCATGGTCATAGAAAAAAAAAGAAAAAAGAAAAAAATGACAGAAGGCGCTATGGTGGGTTTGGCTGGAGTCAGCTAGATCTCAGGCTAAATCTCAGCTCTATGAATTACCAACTCTGTGTCATAGGCTAAGTTTCTTAGCCTCACCAACTCTCAGTTTCCTCATCTATAAAATAGATAATAGATAATCATAAAAATATTGATACTAAAACCTAGTCCATAGGGTCATCAGGAGGAAGAAGGATCTGGCACCCTGTCTGGCCCACTGAAAGAGCTTAACAAACACCAGATCTCACGTCACTGCTTCCTCTCCCCTTTAACGTAACACTGTCCAGGAATGAAAATTTCTTTTACATAAGTCAACTAATAAGTTTAGAGGCAGCTTCTTAGAACTGCCATTGCACACCCCCACACCCAGGATGGAGAGGGAATGCCGTCCAGAAGTTTAGAATTGTGAAGTTAATGATGAGTAAAACCTGAGTATAATAAACTCCAGCAAAAGTCACATCGGATAGCGTCACTTGATAATCACTCACCATCTACTCCTGGCTGGTGCTGAATGTAGGGCATCCTTGGAGAATGACTACAAATATAAATCCCTAGTGCTCTGCTCAGTACTCTCTATACATTTAATTTTCACAACACCCTTTGAGGTAGACACTAACATTCTTCTTTTATAGTTGAGGAAACTGGAAGCATTATATTACCCAAAATTTCAGCTTAGCAGCTCGCACATCCCAGAGCCTCCCATGAGGTAGTAGTGATGAATGCTGGATTTCTGGTCAGCAGGGTGACCTACTGAGAACATCCCCAGGGGCCACAAATTTGTAGAGTGAAAACTTAATCAAAACCGTATGCATGTACCACAGTCAGGGTAGATCCTACCATCCAGACCCAGGGCCGATTTTTAGTGTGCTACCAAGTTACATGTCATGTATCTTAATTGAGAAATATGTGAAATAAACAAATGCTAGAGGAAGGCATCCAAAATGCTAGTAAAGTATTTGGGGGGTTGGGGGAGAAAACTTTTCCTATTTAAACACAGGACTGCAAATGTAGGACAGCAGGGATGGTGAGTCACCCTTGTCTAGCAGCTCCCCTTGAGTTAATGTGGAACACACTCACAGAGGATTGCCTGAGAGACACGGACGGTTGTGGTTGGCAGGAAGTGGAAGAAAAAAGTCCATTAATTACTATGAGTGGGTGAGAAGTTGACTTCCTTTTTTGGTACAAAAAAAGTGAGGAAGAAACCTAAACTCACCATTTGCTCTGATTTTTCTGCTTTGTCTTTGATATCTTTGATTTTGCCAAACAGTTGCTGAATAGCTTTCTGGGCCTCTTCAAGTGCCTAGAGTTAGAGAAATAAATGAAAAATAAGAAGTCATACAAGACAGCACCAGTCACTACACTATAATAAATTCCAGCTCCAGAAGATAATTATCATAAAGTTCTTTTGATACATTATACTTAAACTGACAATTTTATTGTACCAAACTAGTAGAGAGTAAGGGCCGGGGATATAGCTCAGTGGCACAGTGCCTGCCTGGCAAGTGTGAGGTCCTGAGTTCAATTTCTGGTACTAAAAAAAAACAAAACAAAAAACACAAAACCCAAACTAGTAGAGAAATGGAATCCAGCATTCAGATATAGGCAAATAGTATGCTTGCCAATCTACATCATGAAGTTAGTTTAAAAACTAAACTCTTTCCCTCTGTTTTGGTGATTACTGTATGTGCTGTTGTTGACAATAAACAACATGCACATCTGTGTGTATGGGTGTGTGCACATGTGCATATGTACATACACAGTAACCTTCAAAGTCTATAAAGAGACAGAGGTATTCTAACCTAGCTATAGTTTGGGAAGCTCTGGATCTGGAAGTTCCAAAAGACTATCAAAAAAACAAAAAATACCCCCCTCATCCCAAAACAAAACTGTGGTCGCTCCCTGGTGGTCTAGTGGTTAGGATTCGGCACTCTCTCCCAAAACAAAACTGTGTGTAAGAACTCAAGAATTGTGGCAATTCTTAATGACATTTATAGTGTCCTACTTGAAAACCAGTGAAATGAAGTCAGAAAGTTACACTTGACGCTAACCTTGAGCCAAATGTTTCTACAGAAATAAAAACCTACCAAGACGGATGTTACACATTAAAAGTATTACAACCTACAGTATCTTCTGTGAGGAGACGCTGCAATAGGAGACGAGTATGAAGGGTGCTAAAGCTACACACATGCAAAACACAAGTACTTCATGGTCCTATGACTGAAAATGACCCATAGCTGAGGCAGTGCTCTGAATTCCTTGGCAGTTAGAGTGCCAGCCACACCAGTCAGCATTTCATTCAATCCTTCACTCATTCACTCATCCAACAGGCATGTACTAAATATACCCCATATAACAGGGAAGAGAAGAGGGTCAGGGATGAGCTCTTGGATGTTCAACATTCAGAAGTCTAAAAGAAATGGAGAAAGCAAAAATGCAAAAGATAAAAACCACTGCCCACATGACAGAAAACCAAGGACTCCAAGGACTAAGATGTTACAGAGGCCAAACAAAAGTGTTTAAATGAGGACAAGAGTGATCATGTCTCACGCTGTGAACAGTTCATATAAGATTAAGTCACAGTGTTGCCAGTGACTACAGGGAAGTTGCTGATGATCTTGACCCGAGCAGTTTCAGTGGAGGTGGAGGAATGAAAGTGGACAGCAGTGACAGGATAAAGTGAAGACAATGCTATAGAGAAGGGGCCAGCAACTGACACCCAGCAGGCCAAATCCAATCTGCTATCTGTCTGTGCCAGTAATGGAGTTGTGTTATTTTTGAGGGGGTATCACAACCTAACTTATTCATTTAGGTATTATCTATGGCTACTTTCTCATAAAATGACAGCGAAGCATGGTTGAGATATAGACTATATGGTACATTAAGACTGAAATATTTACTATAGGCCCTCAGAAAAAGTTTGTTGACCCCTAGTATTGAGTATTTTTCCAGTAAGTTTTTGCGGTGAGAAGACAAAAAAGTAGGGCAAAAGATGGGGTAAATGGAGGACTTTTTAAAAAACAAGAGGTGCTTGTATATGTCTTTTACATACTAGTAGAGGGGAGGAACTGTAGGAGGAGGGTATAATGGGATAATTACAGAAGAAGACTTTTGAAAATAAGGTTCTTCCATTGTTAATGTGAAAGTGTTAGCTGTATGATATGGTCATGTGTATGCTTTAGAGTGTGAAGCAAGGACACCAATGGCTTTCTCATGTACATCACAGTTAAGGCACTATTCACTCTGGTTTAGCCTGGACTGTCCTAGTGTATGGCTACAGTTTCAGTATAGTTATTAATAGCTCCCTCTTTTGAAACTACTCTGCTGGTAAATTATATGGTCACCTTACCTATAGCATATACACAAAGCCAGACCACATTTAAAATACAATTCTTTGCCGACTGATTAAAAATATCCCAGGGTACACATAAGTGGCAGTGCTAAGACTACTGCTCTAAATGAGGTATGCTGACACCTACCACTCCCTAGCCTCCAACTCTCGATCCTGCGTCCTCAGCCTGCCCAGTGCTAGGATTACAGCCATGCATCACCATGCCCGGCACACCACCCTTCCCATCACTATTGACATGACAAATACGGAGTCTACTGACCAAGACACTGTAATTCGAAACCTGCCAGAGGATTCTGAAAACTGCTGGGTCATGGTGTGAAAAAGTACCAGAGGCCTTGCAAGCAACTGACCCCTAGAAAGTACCAACCTTCTTGAGTGTGACTTGTGTGGGATTCTGTGATGTTGCAGGTCATGTCATGTTATGATGATGGGATTGCAGCCAGTACCCTAAACACACTACACTCAGAGAGGAAAGCAGAAAGGGCCAAGTTCTGTGCTTAGATCCAAGTGTGAAGTGTGTGTAACTCTTTCTCAAAGAAAGTATTCCTACTTTCTGAGAGTCCTCTCTTATTCTCAGTCTGGCCTCCCACCAGAACTGTCTCTACTACAGATACTTTTTTCTTCCAACAAACAAATAAGACTCACACAATCTTGCATTTCATAGACTTTAAGAAAGATAAACAGTCTGCCAGATTTTTTTTTTCAGGCTGGAATATTTCTACTTGTTATAACAACATACTAAAGTTGGTGAAATTTAATATAACTCATTTTTCAGAGTCAAAAGGTTCCTATGAAATACTGACTCTATCAAGCAAGTCCGTTCTCAAAACACATCTTAATATTTGATATCTAACCTCTAATAATCAGTAACAGGCAGAAGAGCATTTTGTCATTGGAAGAATCATAAGACCTATAAAAGAATAAGATTTTGTTTTTAAAAGATACTACAATACTACTTGGTTAATCAGAAAATGTACTGAGGGGCTGGGGATTCAGCTCAGCGGCACAGCGCCTGCCTGGCAAGCGCAAGGTCGTGAGTTTGATTCCTGGTACTGGAAGAAAAACAAACAAACAAAAAAAAAAAATGAAAAAAAATGTACTGAAAGATTCTGGCACAGGGCTTGGGCTCTAGCTCAGTGGCACAAGTGCCTGCCTAGCAAGTACAAGGTCCTGAGTTCAAGTCTCAGCACCAAAAAAAAAAAAAGATTCTGGCACAGTCCCTAGACACTTTTTAAAATAAAATGTGGCTACTTTCCCATTCCAAGCTGGATATGGATTAAAAACAGAACTAACTGCCCCAAAATGTCTGCATTCAATCCACCCCAAGTTTCTGGTCTTCCTGGAGCACTGGCCATAATCTGTCTGCCTCTGAGGGTATTATTAGGGAGCAGGTAGCTGTAATCGTCCTCTTCAGTAACTCAAAGTCTATAATCAGGAGATGCAAAGGTAACCCACTAAGTTAGCCTCCAAGACTAAGCAAAATCAATTACAATATCCACGTATTTCTGTGCCAGTTAACTACAACTGTGACTCTTAACCTCCCTTGCCTCCTGAAGAAGATGCTGAACAAGCTCTCAGAGTCACAGTAGGTCATGTTCATAGATGACAAGCAGTAGGGGAGCTTGGCACAGACTCCATTGCTTTCTTCTTTCCCTTGGTTCCCTGCCCTGCCCCCTCCCCCACCTCAGATCTGTTGTCTTCCACTGGTGCAGACAGAAGGCCTGTGATGCAATGAAAATGCTTTGAGAAATAAACATCCCCTCTGGCCCTAAGATGCATCTATTTTGCAGTTTGGTGTGTCAGAGAATTATATTGCCTTTATCCTGTACACCCATACTCTTTCAGAGATTTTAAACAGAAATCTAATTTCCTGCCACTGCAGGAAGGAAGAAAGATTGTTCATTTTCAGAACTGGTATGACTTTAAATTGTTCTTTGAAAAAAATAATGTGCTAGTACTCAAAGTTACTCAAAGGAAAAATTAGATTCTTTCCACCACTCTGCTATCAATTCTATTTTCCACTTCTGTGTGTATTTGCTGATTTCTCTGACATACTCGTTAAAAGCAAGAATTTTTGAGCCAGCAGACCAGGATGGCCTGGTTCTGCCATTTAACTCTGATCTCTGACAAGTTATTTCATCTTTAGGAGGGTAGTTTCATAATTCCTGAAACAGAAATAAGACTTTTTGTTAGAAAGGATCACAGAGTTAGGTAGTCACCATCTTTAGAATTACTGACCCAGTATTCTTTTCCTTCAGATCTTCTCTTATATTCTTATAAAGTCCACTAGCCAAGGGGCATACCAGATCCAAGTTGGGCAAGTGGAAGTTTTCTTGTTTTTCTTCCAGAACTAGAATTGGGAAAGAGAGTTAAACCCTTTGGTGGTGGGAGCCCCAAGATACAAGACTAAGTTAAAGAGCAACAGAGAGCCCAAGGAAAGGGAAGAAGCTCATCTCCACGACAGATGAAGCCAACACAAAGAAAGACCCAGAGCCACACAGAGCTCTATTCCAGTCCTGGGCTTTAGCTCTCTGACAAGCCTGGCTGAGATACTACTCTTCCCACCATCAGGCTGTTTAACTTCCTTCAGAACAAGACACAACAGGATCCTTCCAAATAATTCTCCTTTTTGCTTAGGGCAGTTTAAATTAGGAATTTGTCTTAACAAACAAGAGAGTTCTAAGTACACAAAAGCCCCCTGCTAATGCAAGGGACTTGCTAAATGGCAACTATTAATATTATTCTCAGATGGAATGTGATATTTCACATGAGACTATGTCTCTAAGAGCAAAAGACTGTGACCCATCTTTTGAAAAAGAGCCTTGTCAACAAGCTCGTTAAAGCCAGGAATGTTGGTGTATAGCTATAATCCCAGCTACTGGGGAGGGGGAGGCAGGAGGGTCACAAATTTGAGACCAGCCCGGGCAACTCAGCAAGACCCTGTCTCAAAA